CAAAATAAAAATCATTAACATGCTCATGGAGGTACAGAAAAATATTCAAGAACTCAGGAACGAATTTAGGATGGAGATCCATTTGTTGAAGAACACAATGGAGGGTATTAAAAGCAGATTACATACGGTGGAGGAGACAATAAATGAAATAGAAATTAGGGAAGAGGAAAATAAAGAAGCTTAGGCATAGAGAGGAAAAAGGGTCTCTAAGAATGAAAGAATACTGAGAGAACTGTGTGACCAATATAAACAGAACAATATTTATATTATAGGGGTACCAGAAGAAGAAGAGAGAGAAAAAGAGATAGAAAGTGTCTTTGAGGAAGTAATTGCTGAAAACTTCACCAATCTGGGGAAAGAGACAGTCTCTCAGGCCACGGAGGTGCACAGATCTCCCAATACAAGGGACCCAAGGAGGACAACACCAAGACATATAATAATTAAAATGGCAAAGATCAAGGATAAGGACAGACTATTAAAAGCAGCCAGAGAAATAAGATCACATACAAAGGAAAGCCCATCAGGCTATTATCAGACTTCTCAGCATAAACCTTACAGGCCAGTAGGGTAGTGGCATGATATATTTAATGCAATGAAACAGAAAGACCTCGAACCAAGAATAAATAATCCAGCAAGATTATCATTTAAATTTGAAGGAGGGATTAAACAATTTCCAGATAAGCAAAAGTTGAGAGAATTTAGCTCCCACAAACTGTCTCTACAGTATATTTTGGAGGGACTGCTATAGATGGAAGTGTTCCTAAGGTTAAATAGCTGTCACCAGAGGTAATAAGAAGGGATGGACAAAGAGTACAGAATATGATACCTAATATATAAAGAATGGAGGAAGAAGAAAAGGAGAGGGAAAAAAGAACCTTTAGATTGTGTTTGTAATAGCATACTAAGTGAGTTAAGTTAAACTCTTAGATAGTAAAGAAGTTATCCTTGAACCTTTGATAACCACGAATCTAAAGCCTGCAATGGCAATAAGTACATACCTATGGATAATCACCCTAAATGTAAATGGACTGAATGCACCAATCAAAAGACATAGAGTCACTGAATGGATAAAACAGAAAGACCCATCTATATGCTGCCTACAAGAGACTCACTTCAAACCCAAAGACATACACAGACTAAAAGTGAAGGGATGGAAAAAGATATTTCATGCAACTAATAGGGAGAAAAAAGCAGGTGTTGCAGTACTTGTACAGACAAAATAGACTTCAAAACAAAGAAAGTCACAAGAGACAAAGAAGGATATTACATAATGATAAAGGGGTCAATCCTACAAGAGTATATAACCCTTATAAATATATATGTACTCAACACAGGATCACCTACATATGTGAAACAAATACTAACAGAATTAAAAGGGGAAATAGAATGTACTGCATTCATTCTAGGAGACTTCAACACTCCACTCACTCCAAAGGAGAGATCAACCAGACAGAAATAAGTCAGGAGACACAGGCACTGAACAACACATTAGAACACATGGACCTAACAGACATCTACAGAACGCTCCACCCAAAAGCAGCAGGATACACATTCTTTTCAACTGCACATGGAATATTTCCCAGAATAGACTACATACTAGGCCACAAAAAGAGCCTCAGTAAATGCAAAAAGATGGAAATTGTACCAACCAACTTCTCAGATCGCAAGGGTATAAAACTAGAAATAAATTGTACAAAGAAAATAAAAAAGCTCACAAACACATGTAGGCTCAATAACATGCTCCTAAATAATCAATGGATCAATGACCAAATTAAAACAGAGATCAAGCAATATATGGAGACAAATAAAAACAAGAGCACAATGCCCCAACTTCTGTGGGACACAGCAAAGGCAGTTCTAAGAGGGAAGTATATAGCAATCCAGGCCTATTTAAAGAAGGAAGAGCAATCCCAGATGAATAGTTTAAATTCACAATTATTGAAACTGGGAAAAGAAGAACAAGTGAAGCCTAAAGTCAGCAGAAGGAGGGACATAAGAAAGATCAGAGAATAAATAAATAAAATTGAGAAGAATAAAACAATAGAAAAAAATCAATGAAACCAAGAGCTGGTTCTTTCAGAAAATAAACAACATAGATAAACTCCTAGCCAGACTTATTAAGAAAAAAAGAGAATCTACACGCATAAACAGAATCAGAAATGAGAAAGTAAAAATCATGACAGACCCCACAGAAATACAAAGAATTATTAGAGAATACTATGAAAATCTATATGCTAACAAACTGGATAACCTACAATAAATGGACAACTTTCTAGAAAAATATAACTTTCCAAGACTGACCCAGGAAGAAACAGAAAATCTAAACAGACCAATTACTAGCACCAAAATTGAATTGGTAATCAAAAAACTACCCAAGAACAAAACTCCCAGACCAGATGGATTCACCGCTGAATTTTATCAGACATTTAGAGAAGACGTAATACCCATTCTCCTTAAAGTTTTCCAAAAAATAGAAGAGGAGGGATTACATCACTCTAACACCAAAACCAGGCAAAGACACCACAAAAAAAGAAAACTACAGACCAATATCCCTGATGAACAAAGGTGCAGAAATACTCAACAAAATATTGGTAAACTGAATTCAAAAATACATCAAGAGGATCATCACTGTGATCAAGTGGGATTCATCCCAGGGATGCAAGGATGGTACAATATTTGAAAGTACATCAACATCATCCACCACATCAACAAAAAGGACAAAAACCACATGATCATCCCCATAGATACTGAAAAAGCATTTGACAAAATTCAACATCCATTCATGATAAAAACTCTCAACAAAATGGGTATAGAGGGCAAGCACCTCAACATAATAAAGGCCATATATGATAAACCCACAGTCAACATCATACTTAACAGTGAGAAGCTGAAAGCTTTTCCTCTAAGATCGGGAACAAGACAAGGACGCCCACTCTCCCCATTTTTATTCAACATAGTACTGGAGGTCCTCACCATGATAATCAGGCAACACAAAGAAATACAAGGCATCTATATTGGCAAGGAAGAAGTCAAACTGTCACTGTGTGCAGATGACATGATACTGTACATAAAAAACCCTGAAGAATCCACTCCAAAACTATTAGATCTAATACCTGAATTCAGCAAAGTTGCAGGATACAAAATTAATACACAGAAATCTGTTGCATTCCTATACACTAATGATGAACTAGCAGAAAGAGAAATCAGGAAAACAATTCCATTCACAATTGCATTAAAAAGAATAAAATACCTAGGAATAAACCTAACCAAGGAAGTGAAAGACCTATACCTGGAAAACTACAAGACACTCTTAAGAGAAATTAAAGAGGGTACTAATAAATGGAAATTCATCCCATCCTCTTGGGTAGGAAGAATTAATATTTTCAAAATGGCCATCCTGTCTAAAGCAATCTAAAGATTCAATGCAATCCCTATCAAAATACTGACAGCATTCTTCAATGAACTGGGACAAATAGTTCTGAAGTTCATATGGAACCACAAAAGACCCCGAATAGCCAAAGCAATCCTGAGAAGGAAGAATAAAGCAGGGGGGATCTCGCTTCCCAACTTCAAGCTCTACTACAAAGCCACAGTAATCAAGACAATTTGGTATTGGCACAAGAACACACCCATAGACCAATGGAACAGACTAGGGAGCCCTGATATAAACCCAAGCATATATGGTCAATTAATATATGATAAAGGAGCCATGGACATACAATGGGGAAATGACAGCCTCTTCAACAGCTGGTGTTGGCAAAACTGGACAGCTACATGCAGGAGAATGAAACTGGATTATTGTTTAACCCCATACACAAAAGTAAACTCAAAATGGATCAAAGACCTGAATGTAAGTCATGAAAC